TTTCTCTAGTAAAACAATACTATCTTTATTACCAGTATATTGATGTCTATAAAGACACTATGAAACCATGGCAAATATTCTTGAACAACAAGCTACAAACTATGGCTGGAACAACATTTATACATTTGTATATTTATAGTAACTTATAGCATAATTTTAACCATGTTAAAAAGTAAATCCATGGCACAGAAAAAGTGAACAGTAAGTGTCTTGAACAGGAGGCCGAGAGGTGGTTTCTTAATTTTTTAAATGTCTTATACTCAGTATTCTAATACTCTTTATCATGAACCTTTATTTAAAACACATATGATTAAATACTGAGTTGGTGGAGGAAGGAACGACAATACCCTTAAGGGCAGAGAGAGAAAAGCGTAGCCCAGCAGAGATGGCAGAGAAAGGTGTCTGGTTGTACAGGGAGAAGTGCAACAGGGACTCCTGGAGGCAGAAGAGAAAGAGCAAGGGTGCTTCGTGAAGGCCATGTGCTGGCCACGGTATGGACGCTTCCTGCCCACTTCTCTCAGGGTCTCCGATCTGACTTCCCTGCCTGGTGGCTAGCTGGCGTTGGCTGCAGCAGCCCTATCATTACAGCACATGAGGTAGACAAGAGTTAGGTAAAAGGGCAAAACCTACCAGTGACATGATGTCACCACATATGTCCTTCCCCTTCTCATAGGGATGGTGACTTCGTGTTGACAAGTAGAGGAAGGATGCTGCGGCTACCCAGGGATGTGGGTGAGCCAAACAGAAAAGATGCTGGTGCAGATTTGGGAAAGTAAAATATTAATTAGTAATTTAGAGTAGCATAAACTTGGTTGAAAGAGCACTCCTTGGAAACAATCTTTTTCACATTTCATAGATCCTGGATTCCAAATTATATTTAGTTACAAAATTAAAATGCTATTTTTAAAAAATGATGGTAAGGAAGGAAAAACCATTGTCAGGAGATAAATTAAATGCAGGTTCAATGCATTTTAAAGATTACTTTTGCAACTACTGACAGACATAATGTGTTCATTTTTTTCAAAAATCTATTTCATCATTTATGATTGAATGAAATATTTGTCTGTTCTTGCGGTAGCAACCTTGGCACGAGGGTTACAAAGATCTGCCGCCAGCGAAGTGCCCGTACTATGTAGCAGTCAGCACTACTGTCATTTCTCTTATTGATATCTTGACTTGTTTTGTACAGGCATTTAACTCAATATCCAATTTCTAGCCAGGAGGAGCAGACAGAGGTCATCTGATCAACCAGGATTCACTCCTATAGGCAACATTAACATATTATCAGGGTGGTCTGTTTTCGTTCAAATTCTGCCTTAGAATTCTCCTGAGGGCTTTCCTGATGGTTAACAAAACTGTCTAACTTGCATTAACATGCTTGTAAAATAAAACACCTTTTATATCAGACAACATATTAAGTGCCAAGGTATCTGTCTAGTTTTGATTTTGTTTTCCATGTGTGAGTATGGGAAGAGGAAAAGTCCAAATTAAGAAAATGTCCACCTTAGATCATGGATGAGCTCATTTTACTTAGGCAGAGAGGTCTGGTGGCATGTACAAGTCAGGTTTTGTCCTCAGTCATCCCTACGCAAGGAGATTAACAAGAAAGTTAGCTAAGTCTGTAGTCAGGTTAGGAAATAGCTGAATCCTGCTTGGCACAAAGCCCTTAGATTGAGCCAGTGTAAAATCAGCCCCCAGCTGATCATTGACCAGGAGGCCCTTAGAGTGGTAAGAACTAAATATAAAAGCATTCCAGACTTGAGCAATCTGGCTGTCCAGACACACTGCCCTGGGGATCAGATGGACTCACACAGAGGTCTGTGGTGCCAAGTCCCTGGGGCTGTTGGGCTATGCTATGGCATTCACCAACTCTGCTACCAATATGCTGAAGGGTTTAGTTAAAATAAGTTTTGTTTTTAATTGGCAAGGTACACTCATTGTAAGGTGTAAGTCTGCCTATTTCAGAGCTTATCTGAAATAGGGTTTTCTCTAGTCTGTGAGAGGAACTTGGGGTGGAGAGATGCGACTCCAGGATTGCATACTTTGGGGAGTTTCTCCCTTTTCTTCTTTGACCAAAGAAAGTACCTGCTGTTAATCATTTTCTGAAAATACGTCAGAAATGAAGGGAAGAGTTTGTAGTTGCTGACAAGTAGAACTAGGAGCTGGGTGATGGGTGGGGGTGGGGGTTACCCAAGCAGCCATCTGCCTCCTTCCATCCTTAGTGGTATTGTACATACTAATATTGTTCCTAAATGGAGTCCTTCTTTGCACTTCTCCC